ACAAAAATATATTTAAGATTATGTGAATGCATTGAGAGGCTCTTTTATCCCAATCAGTATGTAAATCAGGGCCCAATTTCCCCTTTAAAGAAGCTGCATGGTTTCCCTTTTCAGCCGACACCCAACAACAAAACTTTGGGCACTTTCCCAAATTCTCTACTGTCAGTTCCATCTCTATCATTAGAGGAGCTGAAATGATCTTCTGGCTAAGCTTGGGGTCCTTACTAGCAGTTCTCAGAGGTAATTTTTTCCCCTCTATCCTCAGCTTCTTCCATTTTAATTCTTCTACACAGGGATGTTTGTCTGAAACAAGTTTTGTTTTAGGTGTCCAGTCACAAGCCCAGATGGTGGAGTCTGGAGGGGATTTGAGAAGACCTGGGGAGTCCCTTCGTCTCTCCTGCCTAGCCTCTGGATTCACCTTCAGCAGCCATGGGATGAACTGGGTGATACAGGCTCCTGGGAAAGGACTGGAATGGATGGCACATATAAGCCCCGGTTCCAGTCCTATTTACTACTCGGACAAAGTCAAGGGACGCTTCACCATCTCCAGGGACGATGCCAGAAGCCAGCTGTATCTGCAAATGAACAGCCTCAAAGCTGAAGACACAGCTGTCTATTACTGTGCTGCAGACACAGTGAGAGGAAGTGAATCTGAAGCCAGACAAGAACCTTTCCTCCCTCAGAGCGGATCTCCAAGTGGATTCAGTTTCAGAAAGTTGAATTGGAGTATTGCAACAGAGGAGCAGCTGATCGATCTACATCATAACAGTTGAATATCCATGGAACAGTAGAATACTTTAAGAGACCAATATAAATTAAGGAAAATAGAAGCCCAAAGTGATATTTTCTTCTGGAATTCAAGTTGAAAAGAACCCTCTGCATTTACAGTTGCAAGGAATTAGTAATCATTCATAGAGCTCACAATACTGAGTTGCGAGTTGTTAGTGACAGTCAACAGGGAATGGGCAAGAATGGACTGCATGATATCATCTCCACGGATAAATCCAACTGCAAAGGGACGTCACAAGGAGGTGCAAAACACATAATATTTTTGACTATGACTGAAATAAAATCTGTGGTTTCAGCTGTGAACCTGACTGCTTGCCCAGCTACTTCCTAAAGAATTAAAATAGTTTCTTGAAGGAAAAAAAAAAGTACTTGTCCTTTGAAAATTTCACACCCTAAGAGTTCTGAAAAAAATGTTTAATGTCAAGCTTCAATGTGTACAGCAAAATAAATAAATAAATAAATAAATAAATAAATAAATAAATAAATAAATAAATAAATAAATAAATAAATAAATAAATAAATATTCTCATATCTAATTTACTTAAATCGCCTATGCTGGTGGGGAGTCCTGGGGAGTCCCTCCATCTCTCATGCCAAGCTTCAGGCTTCACTTTCAGCAGGTGCGACATGAACAGGGTGAGGCAGGTCCAGGGAAAGGACTGGAGTGGGTTGAACAGATAAACAAAGCTGGAGATGGGAGCATCCAACATATCCACGCAGAGAAGTAGAACAGAACCACTTTCATTTTCCATGCTGGTGATCTGCAGAAGCCACAAATATTGAAGGAG